GCAGGGAGTCTGCTTCTCCCTCTGACCCTCTTCCCTCTCGTGCTATCTCTCATTCTCTCTCTCTCTCAAATAAATAAATAAATCTTCAAAAAAAAAAAATAAAGCTATGATGATTTGAAGCCCACTACTGCCTAGAGGTGGGCTTCCCATCATCAAATGGTCCGCTCCATCATCAAATAAACAACTCTAATGTCACCAGTACTGCAGCCCAGACACCCCAGACAAACAGAACCAGGCGCTTGGTTCTACAAGCCCACAGCAAGGCAAAAGCTGAGGACTCTCCCTTTTCTGGCACTAGCAGAGGTAACAATTTCCTTAGAGAGTAAGAAACAGGTAAACTCATCGAAACCTCTAGTTTCCGTGACTCCATGAAAATCACTACAAGGTTGTGCTACATACGGGTCACATCCACCGTAGTGAACGAACCGCCCCCTGGATTGAAGGCACAGGACTTGAGGTGGTGACCAGCAGCACAGCAGGTGTCCTGGGGGTTACAGAACTAGAACACGTGGCCTTGGGGTCTTGGGTGAGACACTGCTACACCCGAATCTCAAGGAGAAGCAACGACCAAAGGAGGGTTTCCTACGTGGTATGTCGGGTCAGCAAGTAAATTCTTCAGCTGTTTCGAGCAGTGTCAAACCTTATGTTAAGCCACCTCACAATGATTCCCACCTGAAGTAAAAGCTCCAGGATGGAGACCTATTAAGATCCCAAAGCCCCCAAAACAGGGCTTTTGTGCTACCATCTGCCCTAGCAGTCCAGTGTTAGTTATGACCCACCCCGCATTGTTGGAAAGCACTGCCCGAATCAGCTTTTGACAAGATAGCTAGCATGCGTCAGGTGTGCTAGTGCCAAAAAGAAAAAAAAAAAAAAAGAAAAAAGGCTGAGAACCATCACTCTCTAACATAAATTCTATAGAAGGGCAGAAATCAAGTTAGATAAGGATGCACAGCAAAGCTACAAATATATAAAAATACCAAAGTTTCCTAAAGATGATTTGTTCATACTTTATATAAGACTGGGAAAACATCCGTTGTCACCAACCGTGAACAGCACTCTTCCTGTGGTGCCGTTATGATCAGGAGGCCCTGGAAGTATGGATGGTGGTCATGCGGAGGGCACCAAAGCTGCCTTTGGGAACCGGTGACTCTGATCTGTGATTGTCTGGAGTGGGGAGTACAGATCCGTAGCCCTGGGTGGAGTTTCTCTCTCTGCAGAGCTAAGTGGTCCTCCCCATCATCAAATAAACAACTCTAATGTCACCAGTCCTCCAGCCCAGACACCCCAGATGGTAGCTTAATCGCCTGAAAGAATTAATAGTGCACCTCTAAGCACATTATTCACCCAGAGAATAGTTTAGGCAATGGGAAGAATCTGGCCCATTATACCCCACACAATCGCTAAATAATATGCAATCACAGAAATGAAGCATGGCATATGGTAATCTCTCTACTATATTGCGATTCATTGTAATAAAAGTGCTGTTCAAAACCCTTATGTGTAGAAATCTGAAAGGCATACCTTTCTTTTCTGGAAGAAACATTATAATAAGACAAGCCAGTCCTCCGAGGCACAGAAATGCCGCTAATGTCCGCTTCCGACCAAACCTAAACAACAGAAAGACATTATACATTTCTCTTGAGGATCTTATAAATTCATCTGCTTCGTCTCCCGAACCTTCTTTCTGAAATGTCCCCAGTTTCATTATATATGTTCATCGTTGCTTAAGGAATGGGTGGCAGATGTGACTGACCGGGACATAAAACACGTAACCATCACAAAACAAGAGAAAACTGGCCGATGTCAGGACTGAATGACGTGTGCAGGAAAAGAACAGAGAATCATTCTATTGATTTCTGTGAAGGTTCACTATGTTCCAGGCAGTGCTGAATGCTTTCCATCGAGTATCTTACTTAGTCCTCACAATAAACCTGTAAGGCATGCGCTATGCTCTCCTTCTTCCAGAGAATGGAAATGAACCATGGAGAACGGAGTCTTCAGCTCACTTCCTCTTCTCATTACATGAATCTTTAGCAGTTCATTTTTTAAATTTTATTTAAAATCAATTAATTCACATATAGTGTATTAATAGTTTCAGAGGTAGAGGTCAGTGATTTATTTATTTTTTTAAAGATTTTATTTATTTATTCATGAGAGACGGGGGCGGGGGGAGAGAGAGAGAGAGAGAGAGAAGCAGAGGGAGAAGCAGGCTCCCAAGGAGCAGGGAGCCCGATGCGGGACTCGATCCCAGGACCCTGGGATCATGACCTGAGCCGAAGGCAGACGCTTAACCATCTGAGCCACCCAGGCGCCCAAGGTCAGTGATTTATAAGTTGCAAATAACACCCAGTGCTCATTCCGTCACATGCCCTCCTCAACGTCCATCATCCAGTTACCCCATCCCCCCACCCACCTTCCCTCCAGCAACCCTCAGTTTGTTTCCTATGATTAAGGGTCTTTTATGGTTTGTGTCCCTCTCTGATTTCATCTTGTTTCATTTTTCCTTCTCTTCCCCTATGTTCATCTGTTTTGTTTCTTAAATTCCACATATGAGTGAAATCATATGATAACTGTCTTTCTCCGACTTATTTCATTTTGCATAATACCCTCTAGTTCCATCCACGCCGTTGCAAATTTTAAACACTGTAAAACAAGGCTCTCTCTCTTAAAAATACAAACTGAAAAAAATTTCTTGTTAGTATGTCAGAATTAAGTGACATGTATTGCACACTTTATTAAGGGAACTAATTTTCAAAGAATTGCTGGAGGCTTGGGTGAAAGGCACTGGCATTAACAAGCCTCCCTTCCACTAGGGGCCTATGACTTGCTAGGTCCCCTGCAGGAACTTCCATAGTACTTGTAACCTTTATAACAATTCTGCCAGGGAATTTTATAAGCCCTAGTTTAAGGATAAGTACATGGAAGCTTACTTGTCAAAGCTGTCACCTGTCAAAGCCATCAAGGTAACATGGGCCTGAGACTAGATTTGCACTCAGTGGTAGTGGCTGGAAGACAGGATGACACGTGGGTCTCCAGGTCATCGTGCCTCACTTAACATCAGTACTAAGTGCCTTTCAACGGACAGGTGCCACGCTAGGCAGGCAGTGGGGACACAAAGCCATACAGGCTACTCCCTGGGACGGCATCCTTCTAAAACCGTAGGTGGTCACCCGAGGTGAGCATGGAAGCTATGACAGCACAAGGGAGGGGTGTCTGGCTCACTGGAGGTGATGGGGACCGATTTCTGGATATACAGCCTGACTCGGCTCTTGGACCACAGTGACAGCAAGCTCAGTCCTAACAGAGGGGTCAGTGGGGACAACTGGGACCACCCCCAGAGAAAAGCCTTTCAACTGAGCAGCTATTAAAATCATTTCAATCCCTTCAAGATGCACTGAACCAACCCACCATCCACAACAACAGCACCAAGTATAGTGCAAAAGGAATGCTGTTTGGGTTAAAATGATGATTTCTGGATAATGGCAAATGGCACAATCTGGCTGGTTCACACTGAATGGGATTTTCAGTTGCTCTGGTCAGGGCTCAGTAACAGAAGCGACCTCATAGAGAAACTGAGGAAACGGTGCTCTGTTTAAAAAGTACTGTAAAACTCCCCACTAACAAGTAGCAAAAGCAGGGTGTATTCCTCCCCTCCACAAAGTCGAGTGGGTCTTAAGAGGTAAGAAAAGTCCTTCTAGGTCCTCCAATTCTATGCCTTGTGTAAGAACCTCTACATGACAGGGGCTGGGTCGAAGGACTTCTATCTACACAGAGCCAATAATCCTATCTCTTGGGGCTAACAAACTACACACAGACTACCCAAAACCCTTCTGGTGGTAGTGCATTTTAATACTGGATTGAAAACCTACGGAAAAACTCATAAACATGAAACCCAAGCAATACCACACTAAAAAGTGAATTCCAACTGTATTGGGTCTAAAAAGAATTCTGATCACCCTGGAGTACTGAACAGATACTGCCTATGGACAAAGACAATAATATTTAAGTATTTATGGATACAAGAGCGTGATCCTATGTGGGGCATTTCAGATTCAACTATACTCACCATTTTTGGTTAATCAAGTAGATGCAGATAGGGTAGGATGGAATCTCTACGAGGCCGGACAGGGCCAGGTTGGCATAAATATTTCCGCCTAGATCACCTGCGCTCAGAGTGAGGCCATAGTACACCAAGCTGCACACAAACCTGCAGTTGGGGTAAAAGACAAGAGGGGCCAAAAGCAAAAGCACATGAGAATCTGCCAGAGAAGATGCAATCACTGGTTCCGTATAACGTTATCTGTCTTAAGCAATCAGCTTGACATTCCCACGGAGCGTTTCTATCCCAATCTAAATGTATACTAGGAAAAAATACAGATGAAAGGGGCCTTGGAAGATACTGAGCTACGCAGAGATGCTCTCTAAAGCAGATGAGTGGTCAGCTCCTGAAAGAGCAAAGACATCCTCTGTCCTTTCATCAAGCATATCTGCATTTAGAAGAAGACAACAACTAGTCTTGCTTTATTTAATCCAGCAGTTTATGAATACTTGCTGTAGGCGATAAACGACTCTAGGAAAGAGCTCCCGAGGGGGAAGCCAACAGGGGATGGTGTGGAGAAGGCGCGCTGAGAAGTGGCTGGATGATCGGTGGGTCATCTGCAGGCCAGAAAGGACTGGCCCTCCAACCCCTTGACCAGGTTCTCGACCCACCCGGACAGGAAAGAGAAGACCAGGAGCCCAGCGGAGGCAGGATCCTCCAGGAGGGTCAGCTGAGGAAGGACCCTTTGAGAAGCCATCGGTTTCTTTCTGTACTTGGGGAGAGGCTCCTGGGTGGCAGGCACTGGGCCAGGCACCGAGCTCACCTCCTATGGGCCAGGAACGGAGGAGCCCAAAGCGCCATCCTGAAGCTCCAAGTTGGGGTTTTCTCAGAGTGAAGTTTCCTGTGCCTAGGAAACTGAATTATTAAAAACAAAACGAAACAGAACAGAACGCGAACAGAAACAAAACCCTAAAACTAGGCTTTACTAGTCTATGGATATATTTTGGAAACCAAACATTTCTATAAAATGTACTACAGGCTTTGGAAGTCCATCAGTTTTTACGTTTTTGCAATTTGCTTTGACGGTGTTTATTACAGGGAAGTTTCTGTTTGTTTCCCTTTAGTTTTCCTTGGAAAAGGTCCAATAAGCTGTGACTATGATGAGATCAAACAGGAGAAGGAAAGCTTTCTCTCCATCTCTGCCAAAACAGCGGAGTGGGCCAAGTGCCCTGGGCTATTAAGAAGGGGCTGCAGTGAACAGGAGAGGGAGGGGGGAGGGGAGAGAGACGTCTAGAGCTGGATGCTTAGTGGGGCATCCCTCCCTGGCAAATGAGCCAGCGGCAGCAGCTACTTCCTATTACAGCTCACTGGGTGGAGCTGTCACTCATGTACTAAGGATGATGAGCAGTGTCGGAGCCAGGACATCATGTGTAAGGATGCAAAGTGACACTGAGCTGCCTATTTTCCCTGTCCTCTAGCACCTTGTCTGCAAGGAGTAAGCTAAACAAATTTAAACCCATGCAGCTTTCTAAAGTATTTTAAAAATTCTTTCTACCTGCGGGAGACACCCTCCTCTGCCATGTGTTGTATGCATCAGTGTGTGTCTACTCTGCACTTAAAACAGAAATCCCGGGGTGCCTGGGGGGCTCAGTCGGTTAAGCGTCCAACTCTTGATTTCAGCTCAGTTCATGATCACAGGGTCGTGAGATCGAGCCCTGCATCTTGGGATTCTCTCTTTCTCTCTCTCTGCCCCTCCATCCACCCCCCTTCCAAGCTCACTCTCGCGCACACTCGATCAATCAATCAAATAGAAATCCCAGTGAAGTCATTCCAGCCGTGGAAACACACATATTTAAACCCAGTCGGGATGGTAGCAAATCAGGCATAAATAAACAAGGCCAGTTCAGGATGCGAGAGGCGTGCAGAAGCCGCTGGTGGTGGGTGAGCATGGGGAGAGCATAGGCAAGGAGGGCCTATGGTCCCACGGCGGGGACTCTGCTTGCGAGGTTCCTTAATGGCAAGTTGGTCATTGGGATGCGTAATTACAGCTATTAAAATCATTTCAATCCTTTTTATGGGCCCCAAGCAAAATTTAGAATGCTTGCATAATATTTAACAGTATATTTAGGGCATCCAAGAACTATTTAAAAAGAAACTACTGTGGGAAATAACCAAAGGAACAGATGTGAACCACAGAGGTATCGTTTTGCTCCCAGGTAAGGGCTTTCTTCAGTGACAGATCCACAGAAAAGACTTCAGAATTTTACGGCATCTTCAAAAACAACAGCAGTTATGTGGAATGACAGTGTCTCTATTATTGCGTATTTTAGCATTCGGAGCCCAGGGGCAAGAGGTTCATTCGAGAAGAACTCCTTTGGCTGTGTAAGATAAGAAAATAAACAGGGGCATTCTCCCTGGCTCCCAGGCTACTTTGTTTGTTCGTCTGTTTTTTATCCCCTGAAGGCCAGAATCTAAAGTTAATCTGCCCCAAAAAAACCCCCAAAAAACCCAAAAAACCTAAACACAAGAAGTAAATCATCCTCAAGAAGTAGGCAGAGGGTTTGACTGTCTCTATGACATGCAAATGCAGATTTTAATGGAGCCTGAAGCACCTGAACATATTTTGTAAATGTCTGCAATAGGCAGAACCCAGATGAGTAGCTCCTGGGCTGGGTCGTCAGGTCTGGCTTTTCAAAGTTCCCTTAATCTCCATGTCTCCAAGCTTGCGTCCCCTGTTCCACATTTACTGTGCGTCTGTCATATTCCCGCACGGTGCTGGGTCTGTGGGGAAGGCGGCAGTGGATATGCCCTGGCCCCTAACCATACAGGTGGCAGCCAGCGCTTGGCTGGGTAGAAAAAGAGAATCATGATACAGAAAAATCTATGCACAGCTTCTTCCCCTCAATCTGCTGTTCTTTACAGCTTTATATCTAAGATCACTTTCATATAAAATTATTCTCCTTAATCCCCACATGAAAATGTAGGTTTCTATGCAGCCTTCATGGCAAATACATTCCAACCACAGCACAAAAGTCCTTCGAGCCAGTAAATATGCTGTTCACACCCAATCCTGGACCCAGTCTACGGCACCCTAGCAGAATGGACAGGCATTCCTAGGAGATACTGTGGGTTCTAGACCACTGCAATAAAGTGAGTATTGCAGTAAAGCAAGTCAGATGAATTTTTTGGTTTCCCAGTGCCCAGGAAAGTTATGTTTATACTATATTGCAGTCTGTTAAGTGTGCAAAAGCATTGCATCTAAAAAAACAATGTAGATACCTTAATTTAAAATATTTTATTGCTAAAAAATGCTAACCATCATCTGACCTTTCAGTGAGTCATCATCTTTTTGCTGGTGGAAGGTCTTGCCTTGATGTTGATGGCTGCTGATGGAACAGGGTGGTGATTGCTGAAGGCTGGGGTGGTTGAGGCAATTTCTTAAAATAATACAACACTGAAGTGTGCCGCATCAGTCAACTCTTCCTTTCATGAGCATTTTCTCTGTGGCATGTGATGCTGTTTGACAGCATTCTATCCACAGTAGGACTTCTTTCAGAATTGGAGTCAATTCTCTCAAACCCTGCTGCTGCTGTATCAACAAAGTTTACGTAATATTCTAAATCCTTGAATGGTGATTAACATAACAATAAAAAAATTAAAAAAATAAAAAAATATTCTAAATCCTTTGTTGCCATTTCCACAATCTTCATAGCATCTTCACCAGGAGTCGATTCCATCTCAAGAAACCACTTTCTTTGCTCATCCATAAGAAAGTGACTCTTCATCCATTCAAGTTTGATCATGAGATAGCCGCAATTCAGTCCCGTCTTCAGGCTCTACTTCTCATTCTCGTTCTCTTGCTGTTTCTACCACATCTGCAGTTACTGTCTCCACTGAAGTCTTGAACACCTCAAGGTCATCTATGAGTGTTGGAATCCACTTCTTCCAAACTCTTGTTAATGTTAATATTTTGACCTCTTCCTATGAATCATGAATGTTCTTAATGTCTTCTAGAATGATGAATCTTTTCCAGAAGGTTTCCAATGAACTCTCCCCAGCTCCATCAAAAGAATCACTATCCACAGCACCAATATTGTTATGAAATGTATGTCTTAAATAATAAGATTTGAAAGTTGAAATGACTCCTTGATCCATGGGCTGCAGAATAGATGTGTTGGCAGGCATGAAAACAATATTGATCTCATTGTCTGTCTCCATCAGAGCTCTTGCGCACCCAGATGTATTGTGAGTGAGCAGTAATATTTTGAAAGGAATCTTTTTTTTTTTTCTCTGAGCAGTAGGTCTCAATAGTGGGCTGAAAATATTTGTAAACAAATGTGCTGTCATCTGTTTACAAGGCTTTGTTGCTCCCTTTAGAGAGAGGCAGAGTAGATTTAGCGTAGTTCTTAAGGGCCCTAGGATTCTCAGAATGGTCAGTGAGCACTGCTTTCACTTTAAGTCACCGGCTGCATTATCCCCTATCAAGAGTCAGCATGTCCAGGTACTAACTTCCCTTCTCTCGCTATAAAAGTCCTAAATGGCATCTTCTTCCAAAAGAAAGCTGTTTCATCTATGTGGAAATCTATTTTTCAGTGTAGCCACCTTCATGAGTTGTCTTAGCTAGATCTTCTGGAGAACTTGCTGCAGCTTCTACATCAGCACTTGCTGCTTCATCTTGTGCTTTTATATTGTGGAGACGGTTGCTTTCCTTAAACCTCATGGACCAACCTCTGTTAGCTTCAGACTTTCCTTCTGCAGCTCCCTCACCTCTCTCAGCCTTCAGAGAATTGAAGAGAGTTAGGGCCTTGCTCTGGATCAGGCTCTGGCTTAAGGCAATGTTGTGGCTGGTTTGATCTTTTGTCCAGAACACTAGAACTTTCTCCATATCAGCAATAAGACTGTTTTGCTTTTAATCATCCATGTGTTCACTGGAGTAGCACTTCTGATTTCCTTTAAGAACTTTTCCTTTATTCACAACTTGGCCAACTGTTTGGTGAAGAAGCCTAGCTTTCAGCCTATCTTTGGCTTTCAACATGACTTCCTTGCTAAGCTGAGTCATTTCTAGCTTTTGATTTGAAGTGAGAGACATGTGACTCTTCACTCGAAAACATAGAGACCATTGGTAGGCCTAATTAACTGGCCTAATTCCAATATTGTTGTGTCTCCAGGAACAGAGGCCCCAAAGAGGGAGAGACATGGGGGAATGGCCAGTCAGTGGAACAGCCAGAACACACACAACATTTATTAAGTTCACTGTCATAAAAATGTGGTTCGTGGTGCCCCCAAACAATTATAACAGTAACACCAAGGATCACCGATCACAGATCACCATGACAAATCTAATACTAACGAAAAAATTTGAAATATTGCGAGAATTAACAAAATGTGACACAGAGTCACGCACTGAGGAAATACTACTGGAAAATGGTGCCAGTAGACTTGCTTGATGCAGGGTTGCCCACAAACCTTCAACCGTAAAACACACAATCTCTGAGAAGCACAGTAAAATGTGGAGCTTCTATACAGTACTACAACACGTGTGCCGTTCACACCCTGTATGCACTGCCTGTCCACTTCTCCCCTTTCTGCTTCATTCTTTTTTTTTTTTAAAGATTTTATTTATTTATCTGAGAGAGAGAATGAGAGAGAGAGAGCACATGAGAGCGGGGAGGGTCGGAGGGAGAAGCAGACTCCCCGCCGGGCAGGGAGCCTGATGCGGGACTCGATCTTGGGACTCCAGGATCGTGACCTGAGCCGAAGGCAGTCGCTTAACCAACTGAGCCACCCAGGCGCCCCTCTGCTTCATTCTTTAAGCAGAGCCATCTTGAATCATTTGGTGCGATTCACATGAATGCTGAGAGCATGTTGGGAGGCGGGTAGGAATAAGCTAAGCGAGAAAATCAGATTCAGAGAATGCCTATCTGTTCATGCACTGATTTGCACATGTGGCTTTGAGTCCTTCATTTCACACTCCCAGGACTCCATTTGTGCAAGGAACAACACTGCCCACCCCCCGGGAGTGAGCGAGCGAGTATGTCACATAAAGTACAGGACAGGGTGCTACAACTAGAGCGTGCTATCTGAACAATTTGATGCTAACACCAAAGGTAGGGACTTTAAACTCCTACTTAGAAACTCTTCTAATATGCGTGCTTCCCCCCCCTTTTTTTTTTGGAGGTTGTTGGGGGTACTTAAGTATTTACAGGAAAGAGCTCAGGAGCAAAGATGTGTTTCTGCTGTGTATTTACTCAAGTTCGGTAAACCTGCCATCCATAAACTGTGGGTTCCTCCTTGACCGGAGGGTACTGCGAAAGCCGAGCTGAGCACAACACGGGCATTAAGAGACAGAGGACTTGTTCTTGTGAAAACCACTTCAAGCTGACAAATCAGGTAAAAGTTTCTGTAACCCTGCAGAAGGAACACATTATCAACAGCCCGTTAGCAACCTGAGTTGAGGATCAAGACAACACCCCTTAGGTATAATTACCAGATGAACATCAGCGTCAGCGTGTGCCCCAAGAGGATCCGGTAACGGAACAGATCCAGGAAACTTCCGGTCTCCCTGTGGCTCCTGCTAGCCCGATATGTTAGGGAGAACGTACACTTGAGCTTGCGGTTCCTTTTGGCAATGAGGTACAGAGCCGCTTCAGCCTCACTCAGTCGACCCTGGGAGTATAACCAACGAGGTGATTCAGGAATGAATCTGAAAGAGACGTCATTAAAGGCTGTATATTCATATAGGTACATGGGCACATGAAGGAGACAATTCACCTAGGAGTATGTGGATTCCCTCACCACAACCGGATTCCGTGTGAGGGTTAAAACTATCTCTCCCAATGACAGGTGAAAGAGAGAGGGGGCCACTTTCAACAGCATGCCAGGGTTAAAAGGTGGTGGCTTTATGAATGGAAACCAAGAACATACTTCGAAAACAGCAGTTAAAAAAAAAAAAAAGGTAAGCAGTATGCATTTACTTTTAAACAAATTTTAATAGATAATGGTAAATTAAGCCTAGAATACTGAGTGATACAAATTTTTCATAAAGTCCAAGTCAGAGAGAGCATTCTAAACCCTAGCCAAGTGTGAGAATAATACTACAGAGATAGCAGGTGTTTAAGTTCTGACAAAGCCTCACAGAGAAGGTAATTTTTATTGTCTCATCAGAAAAAATAAATTTTTAAAACATGTTTTTAACACAGTGATATGTTATTAAGAAGGCAGAGATTAAGACTACATAAAAATCAAACAGGGGTCATCACATCTCAACTACTTTCGAGGATTTCCTGCTTCAAAATACTCCAATCAGCTGACACACTCGCTTTACTATGTCCTCAGGATATTTCCTGCCCCCCAAGACCTTAAAGAATAAAAGTCATTTTCTGGTTAACTTCCAGGTACCAAATTATTTTCTGCTGTAACTACAAAGTATTGAACAGTTACATTGCCATCGATATTTTCCAATAGTTCTAAGACTTAGCTCTCTGATGTGTCTTTTTCCTCTTCACACTTCTGTGTGCACAGCTAGAGGACTTGTCAAAGACAAACTGGGACAGGAACAGGGACTCCTTGTTTACTAAATACAGCATCCAGTACCTTTTGGTCTAATGTGACATGATTTGCTTAAAATGAAACTTCTACCAGAAGTACCCCTGGCTATTGAAGATGCCTTTTAGAATTCTCTGTGTCTCTCCGTAAGGATAGTGAAGTGGCAACAAATACCATGGAATTTGGAACTTCGTGGACAGCAGTCCATCAATAACCACTTGTTGAGCACATTCATTTTGTATCAGGCGATGTAGCAGGTGCTCAGAGGAAACAAGAAAGCAGGAATTCTCGCAGAGCTTTGCTACCGGGGAGAGAATATTTGTGCACATTTGATCGTCAGCAAAAGCAGGGACTCAGGCCTTCTACAACAGCCTGAAAAATCCCTTGATTTACAGCGTCATTACCGTTCGATTATTATCACTAATACACAAGCAGATAATCAAGCAAAATATTGTTCTGCTGGGAGTTAGGGCTGCCGATCATCAGGCGGACCCACTGGCCCTAACAACCAGGTGGCTTACGAGCTACCACGTATTACCTGATTGACTCTAAATGCAAATACAAAGAACATAAACGAAGCCTACAATGAAGGTGGAGAGTACTGCTGGGAGGGAAAAGTAAGTGAGACACCAGAAATCTGTCGTAATAAAAATTAAAACCAACGGGGACAGGGAGGTGAGAGAGAGGAGACAAGGGAACAGCTGAAATACTAACAGTCACTATCTTTGTGTCATTTAGGTCACTGTCCCCTTTCCCTCAAACTTCCCTGTTTTCAGAATGGTTGATAAGCATTAGTCACTGTTAAAATGTTTGTAAATTACTGTTACATAAATGTTTACATTACTGCTAAATGTTTATAAATCCTTTTTATACTTGAGAGATAGTCAAGCTTTGGAACACTAAACTATGCCTGCGTGGGGAAGGGTCTGTCTTGTACACAAACCGAGGACCTGACTGTCCTCCCATTTGGAGAAGCCAGTAAGCTTATTTACACAAAGGCCCACCTCGCTGCCAACGGATGGACTCGGGAATATAAATTCCAACACATGCAGAGTTTGCATATCAAACAGCAAGACGTGTTTTTAAAAGAAAAAGCAGTCTTTCAACATGCTGCCCTCTGCTCAGTGCTGGGGCCACCTTCAGAAGCTACAGTGCTAATTTAACAATGTTGTCTCTGCTCAAAACATGTCCTGTGAATTTCTTAGAAGGTGGAAAATCTTTGTAAATTATGGAGGCGCTGATTTTTAGAGTAAAACCGTTCAAATCCATGTCTTGTGAAAATGAGGAATTTTTAAACTACATACTAATGTTTCCAGAAAAACAAGGTATGACTCTAAAATAATGTGACTTTTTCTTACATTGCTGACAGCTAATTTTGAAGGCTACTTCCACATATTTTTGTGCCCACACCTGTCCAATGGATCTGAAGGATCATCTGTGCGGAAGGCCCTGGGCTTCGGTGCTGGGGGACACGCGACCGAGCCCAGCACCTGCAGCTACCAGGGAGGAAGCTCCTGGTGCAGAAAGAGACGGGCTCCAGTGTGAGGGTGGAAATAGAGCACTCGTAGGGCACGGGGTAAGTGCTGGAGAATTCAGAAGCCAAAGCAAATGACTGGTAGCTGGAGGTGTGATGGGGAGAAGTTTGGGAGGGGGTAGCATTTGAGGAAACCTGGGAGGCCAGGAGTTAACTAGGAAGAACTGGAGAGCAGGGTGTGGGAAGGGCAGGGGCAGCATCGAGCAGGGGACACGGAAGCAGGACGGCACAAGATGATGCCAGAAACTACAAGCGGTTCGCTGTGCCCGGCATACAGGATATGGGGAATGGGCTGGGAGACGATCAGAAAGGATAAACTGCAGGCTGACCGTGGGAAGGCCTAATGGAATAAATATATATATCGGGTTTACATGCTCTTTTCTCTGTTTCCTATTGTTTCCTGACCTGAATTCATCTCCCAGGGTGTGGATGGCCTCACCTAGCACTAGGGCCGTAACAAACTCAGACCACATTCAGACGAGACAGGCAGAACAGCTCATGCCATCCGTCAAAGTTGCTCTAAAGAAGACTTATTAGCTATTTAAAAAGAAAATTCATTTATCTACCCACATTTACATGACTGCTTATTAATTCAAGGATGACACTAGGTACCCATTTATTCCAAAAATGTATAATACACGAACTAATAAAATGTTGTTAGTTTCCCTTTCTGGTAGGATTATCTCATTCCAATTCACATAACTAAGTACGTTTATACATTTTGCTTGTTTAAGTATAGGTAAACTATTTCTATTATATTCATTCTTTAAAGTTTATCCATTTATTTTTAAGTAATCTCTACACCCAATGTGGGGCTCGAACTCACAGCCCCGAGATCAAGAGTCCCATGCTCTTCCGACTGAGCCAGCCAGGCGCCCCACTATTATATTCATTTTTGCGCTTAGTTCTCTTATTTCAAAGGGAATACAGAAACAGATTTCAGTTCAATCCTCAATCCACCAAAACTCAATTAGTAGACCTTGAAAAAAGAACGACTATATTAAAGATGCATCTGAAGGAAAATTCTGCCACAGATATCCTTCACTCCACTGGCTGAAAATTTTATTTATTCCAAAGATTTTAATGATTAAAATTAGAGGTCTGATACCTTAGGAGAAAGCCTTTCACAAGCACATTAAAACTTTTGGTGAAATAAAACTAAAAACTCAAACTTCTTTTTTTTTTTTCCCAGATTTTATTTATTTGAGAGAGAGAAAGAGAGCATGAGTGGGGGCAGAGGCAGAGGGAGAAGCAGATTCCCCGCTGAGCAGGGAGCCCGACCCGGGACTCGATCCCAGGACCCTGGGATCAGGACCTGAGCCGGAGGCAGATGCTTAACCCACTGAGCCACCCAGGCGCCCCTCAAATGTCCAAGTTCTTAAGCACATCATTAAAATGATGAAATAAGAAATGGAATAGTATTACTTTTTTGTGACACAGTATTTACGAGTGAAACTGGGTTTCTAAGCCCCAACAAGATGGTCAGTAATGTTAATTTTATGGAGAACTCTGTAAATGTCTCTTAAATATTTGTTTTACTGTTACCGGAGTCTGAGGCTATTTAGAGAAGAATATTAATAAATAATATTCTTCTATTATATATTATGTAATATGTATCATATGACAAACACTATTAACACTATTAATGACATTATTAATAAAGTATTTGCTATGGGAAGAAAGAACTGGTAAAAGAGCTCTAAGTTGGTGGCTTGCCTTACAGCATTCAGAGCACCACGGTGTGACATCTGAGCGAGTTGTTGGGAGCATCCTGCCCTGACCAGGTAATCACCGTTTTGCCGCTTTGAGCCATCTACACTAAGGATTTCTCCCATATCTGAGAGTCTTCCCACGTCCACATTTAGAGGCCCTGAAATAAGGGTCACCTGTAGGATGGACAGTTGCCACTACATATTGGGTATGAATGGACTGTGATATTTGCAACATCGTACCTGAGTCAGATGCCAAGCACCTGACCTGATCCAGCCTGAACATCTTCAGGCTTGAGGCAGTAGGTTACAAAAGAAACTGGCACCCTGGGTCAACAACTTGAAAGTTAAAATGCAATCTATGGAGATGTTACTTGAAACAAGGGATACCTGCATTCTGAATTAATTAAGCATCTCTCTTCCCAGCAGCTGCCAAGCATTGGACCGCTTGCGGGATTTAGCTCTTCACCAAAGTCAGTTCAGGCAAACTCCTGAAAGGGAATAACGCCGCTCATTGACCCGCATCCTCTTAAGACATTCCTTCTGTATATTAAATCAAACCTCTAAGAGGAAAAACTACTCACAACGACAGGAGAAAGACCACCGTTCCCTGTAGGTTAACCAGAACGGCGAGGGTCCTCCAGGAGCGGATGAAGTATCCCAACAGGGCATACTGGGCAATGCCAACTGCGAAGAAGAGGCCACCGATCGATCCTAATTCAGGGAAAAGACACCTGTTACTGGAGAAAGCACCGTCCACGCCACCCTTTCCAACCTGAGTCACAGAGCCAACGCCTTCCTTGGGAGGTGTCAGCAGGAAAGAAGAGACTACACAAGTACTGACAGATGAGAAAAGTGGAGAGAGGCGACTGAGTGGGCGGAAAAGGAGGAAGCACAAGTGAAAAATACAAACCACATGTGATCAAGAAGAATTTTAAGGGTTTGCCCTAGTGCTTTTTGCGCTGAAGGCTGTGCTGACATCCGCCCGCACATCAGCTGAAGCTTGGAAGGACGCCTTGCTGGCTGGCGATACGGGTTTTAGGTCATGAGATTATCGCAATACTGAGACCTCGTCTTATCACAAAGGTTGTGCCTCAAATCCTCATCTTAAATCGCAGGCTACTCTTCAGTTCTCCCTCTTGCCCTTCCCCATTTGGTGTATCAGCACCAGATACCAGGACATTTTATAGCTCTCTGTTCCTTTCTTTTTTTCTTTTTTTTTAAAGATTTTACTTATTTTATTTGACAGAGAGAGATACAGCAAGAGAGGGAACACAAGCAGTGGGAGCGAGAGAAGCAGGCTTCCTGCGGAGCAGGGAGCCCGATGCGGGGCTCGATCCCAGGACCCTGGGATCATGACCTGAGCTGAAGGCAGACGCTTAACGACTGAGCCACCCAGGCTCCCCAGCTGTTTCTTGTCTGTCTCCATGAAGCATGGATTTTTGCCAGCACGCTGAGAGGAAAAAAAATCAACCATGGGATTGTGAAAAAGACTATGCTTTTCAAAATAAATGCTGAGATGGGTATTAAGTCCACCGGCTTGCCCAATATACGTGTGAATTTATACCTCTGACACACTTCCTTTAACTGCTACCATCACAATGAATAGTAGTACTCAGGACTATTTATTGCGCAGCATACATTGTCCTATAAAGCAGGTGCCATTAGAGCCACACACAAAGAGGAAACAGCAGAGAGGTCAGGGGCCGCTGTCTAGGACACGGAGCTGTGTGCATGATGGCTGGGACCCTACCCTGTCTGCCTGACTGTGGAGCCTGTGTGCTGTCCCCGTCCTCTCTCCACCCTCCTAGGGAAAGGCAGGCTTCTGTGGGCAACACACAGCGACAGGACCTTATTGATCTTGCTACAAGAACTTTCTACAAGAATTCTATAAGAGAACTGTGTTCTTGTTTTCTTGCCCAGAGATGATCAATTCTCTAGCCATAATGACATGTCTACTCTGTGTCCTAGTGAGGAAAAGGGGGGGAGCAGAAGGGACAGCTGAAGTGGCAGCATGTTCAGGACACCAAATCCGAACATGTGGTCCGATAAGTAAGGGAGTGGGGACACTATGATTTCCCTGGAAATTTAAGATAATCAATGGCTATTACAGTTTCATTACGGTGCATCAGATAGCACCTGGCTTCCAAGAATAACAGTTTCTGTCATGGCTCAGAACAGTTCTCCCCACTCTGATCCTTCAGCAAGTCACTGTCCCACCAAAATCCACCTCCCGTGGCCGTCTTCCTTGCCCCTCTCCTCCCACTGTGTCTAAGCAAGCCCCCGTCATGTTTCATGGGCTAACCACAACCCCTCCTGAATGACGCCTCAATTTCTCCTCCAATTTCTCTCCCCCTTCCATGGTCCATTCTCCACACCTCTGCCACAGTCGTCTTTCTGTATCCTATCTGATCCTATCGCTCCACTATTTAATTCGCCCACTGGCTTCTTACTGCACTTCAAATAAAAATAAATTTCTCATTTGGCCTAGCACAGGCTCTAAATCATCTGGTCCCTCCAACTTGTCCCTCCCCTGCCTGGGAGATAAATATTTAATAAAAATACAATAAGAAAGCGCTGGGAAAGGAGTGTCTAGGCTTTCTTATGTCTGCACTGTTTTTCAGTTTAAGGTGTAAACGGTTAATGCCCTTCTAAGGACACTGACACTCTTGGAATAATCTGGAGGCAAGCTCACCATCTATGAGGCAGGCCCTAGGGAGACTTTCTACAGAGGGATATGAATAAAATGACTTATTCAAGGTCATACAGAACAAACCCTGGAAAGCAAATCTAATGGTGAGATAGAGCGCCTCAAGTCCAAGTGCATTTTTAGACTCTGGGGTTCAGCTGGTTCCCTGCGAGGTTTTCTGGGGCAGCTCACCATGTCTGTCATCGGCACGGAGTAAGCAGTACCTGCGAGTGCCCAGTAGGCGGTGCCCACACATTCGTTCAGCAGGACGAAGGCCACCAGCGACATTCCTCCGTTCATCACGCCCACCAGGAAGCGAGTTACTGCGAAGAACTCATAGGAGGGGGAAAACCCATTTGCAACAGCAAATAAGATGTCAAGAGCAAAACCTAGAATTACAGGAACAGCAGTCAATAATCCGGATGTAAAAGAGCATTTGATCAAAGTAATAAATTATACTCATTTTACATTTGTAAAGATACATCTTTGTAAAGTTAAGTTTTCTAAGCTATGCTTTTTAAAAAACTTTTCTCTTAAAAACCATAAAGAAAAACTAAGGGTTCTCTTTCTTTGTTACAAGTTGATATTTGTCAATCATGCACAGTTTTCAATTATTCACAACAGTGTGGGAAATGGAAAAACCCCAGTTCATGCTCAGCTTGTCAAAAGAACTATGCTGGGTCTTACAGAGCATATTTGAAATGAACAAACGAACAAGATACAAGGAAATGGATCTAGGATACTGACTCAGTCTCTGCTCTCTTTAGAAACGTGGCATAAGTTAGAATTCGGGGGTTGCCAAAAGCACCATCATCATGAAAAGCTTAGATGCAAATACGTGGCCTTCACCAGGTATGCTGCTGGTCTGTTTAAAACGCTTGGCCAGAATCAACTCTGGCTGCAGTGTGGCCTCTTGCCAGTGTAGTAAAAATCAGTTCTGTATCCACATGGCAATTCCCTGAGAACCCTAAGGAAGTAAGTCCTCCTATTCAGCTCATGAACACTCTTAACTGATTACCTGTGAGATAGACTTTTTTCCTTCCAAAGCGATCTGAAAGCTGACCAAAGGAAATAACTCCCACAAACACACCACTGAAGAAGAAAGAGCTTGCTGCACTGACTTTGTAAGATCTGTTGGCAATTAAAAACCACTAAAGGAAGAAAAAAGCAGAAGAGACATTTAGATCACAGAAAAGGTGGATGGACTGTTAGCTATTAAAAAAAACAAATGTACAACCAAAACTTATACACTGGAAATTCTCTACCGCATTACCCACTACTAACCAAAATGTGGTAGATCATCTATCTTGGATAACATCCAAGGAGGTTTTGTCTTCAGAAACACTAGAAATCATTATTATTATAATGTGCTCCCATAATACTCTATACACATCTTATTACAGCACTAAATACAGTATATAATAGCTACTTTTATTCATGCATCTTTGATGCATAAAATAGGTCCCTCCTCCAAAGCCCTTGTATTTCTTGAGAGAAGGAGCCATGACCCACCCATTCCCATTTCTCTGCCACCTAATATACTATAAGACATATGTGAGGCAATCAACAAACAGTCCTTTTCTCCAATAAGTTAATGGGTTTTAAGCCCCTTTAGCATTTTTCTTAAAAAACTGATCACAGAATTACCATATGATCCAGCAATTCCACTTGTGGGTATATGCACAAAAGAACTGAAAACAGAGATTCAAACAGATATTTGCACCCTAGCATTCACAGCAGCACTATTCACAAAAGTCAAATGAAGGATAACCAAAACGTGGTAGATACACACAGTAGAATACTATGCAGCCTTGAAAAGGAATGAGATTTTTGACAAGCTAGATCACAGAAAACCTTAACCATATGCTGAGAGAAATAAGCAGACAAAAAAAGACAAATATGGTATGAATCTATTTATGACGGAGATATTGATTTATGATTTATAGTAAGAAATCTGTATTTGGTGTCTATCCACTGTTCCTGGCACATAGTTCCTGAAACCCTTGTAATTTCCTACAGAAGAGCCATAGGGGCATCTTTGGTTATGATACTTAGTTTTGAACCCAGTTCCTGAAAAAAACTTGAGAGCAATAAAGGAGAAATGGGTGTCCTTTGTTATTTACAACAAGCCTCTTTCAACCACACCTGAGTTTATTTAGTAAGATGACTTCTGGAAAGCCCCTTAGATGGGGGCTGGTTGCCAGGGGCACCAACCCTCATGATTAGAGGGTTATAACTTTCAGCCCCTCCCTCCCACCTGCCCCGCCCTTCGGGGAGGGGAAGAGGGACTGGAAGTTGAACTAACTGTCAATGGTCAATTATTTAATCGATGATGCCTATGTAACGAAGCCTCCCTAAAAACACAAAGGGACAGGGGTTCGAGAAGCTTCCCAGTTGGTGAACACGTGGAGGTGCTAGGAGAGTGGGGCACAGGGAGGGCCTGGAAGCCTGTGCCCCTTCCCACATGCCTGTCCTGTGTGTCTCTTCCATCTGGCTGTTCCTGGTTATCCTTCATGATAAACCAGTGATCTAGTAAGTAAGAGGTTTCCCTGAGTTCTGTGAGCCGCTCTAGCCAATTAATCTATCCCGAGGAGGAGATTGCAGGAACCTCTGATCCCTGGTTGCTCACAAGCACAGAAAGCATGTGGACTTGCAACTGTCATCTGAAGGTGAGGGCGGGGTCAGCCTCGTGGGCTGGAGCCCTGAAACGGGTGGGATCTGAAGCTACCTCTGGATAGAACACCCATGAATAGCTATTATTTGACGCGTAATAGATTAATCACAGATTCAGTGAAGCTTAAAGATAAGTTTTAAAGGCAATAACAAAATGTGTTTTTAGCATCTCCCCTGAAATCATCAAACCTTCAGCTTTATGGAAATGTCACAAGTCAAAACAATCACTTTTCTGACATGGCAGAAACAGGATAATCTAAAAAAATTAATTATTACTTTAAAGTGGACTGCATGCTTATACAATCCTAAAAACAAAATTAATGTCCAAGTGATGAAAACTACGTATCAAAGACATATCAAACGGGAAGGCTCAGCACCTTACAACCAGATAGCTAAAAACCAACCCTCACATAATATTCTCCCCTAATCCCAACAAACACCTTTTATAACAGGTATTATTATTATTATTCCCATTTTATAGATGATGCAGCTGTAGCTCAGACACGATCACCGTAGAGTAAACCATGGAGCCTGCACCCGGTGCTGACACTGGTCTCAAAACCACCTTCTTTGAGTACTGTATGCCTGAATTAGTTAAATCATGTAGGCCTTGTGCTTGGGAACATGAGAAAGCTGGGAGTGCAGAGAACAGAATAATGTACTTAAAAATCAACTTCCAAAGTGTTTTATTTGGGGGGAGGAGGGATTTATCACATTCCACAGTATATGTTTTAAATACAAATACCTAAAATTTCTGTATTTTTTTTTTAGGATTTATTTATTTTAGAGAGAGAGGGATCATGTGCGTGCACACGCCCGAGTTGGTGGGAGTGGCAGAGGGACAGAATCTCAAGCAGACTCCCCACTGAGCACAGAGCCAGATGCCAGGCTCCAGCCCATGACCCATAAGATCATGACCTGAGCCGAAACTGAGTCAGACATTCAACTGACTGAGCTACCCAAGTGCCCCTAAAATTTCTGTACTTTTAATTGAACTTTTATGTACTATTGATATCCTTAGATACCCACATGACACAAAAACGCACCCCCAGCTTGTCTGCTTTTTTTTTTTCCCTCTGCTGAACAGCATGATGCTATCCCTTCCCTATGGCACTGGAACACAGATTATAAGATGCTTCTTAAATTGGTCGTGAATAAGGTGAAAAAGCAAGAGGAAACCTTCTTGAATGAACTCTGAGAATTCAGACACATATCCAGTCTCTGCCCTGCGCAACTTCTCACCAGCTCTGTCAATGTCACAAATTTGTCTGTCTCTGCTTCAGTTTTTTCCTGTGATCTGAACTGTCCATTCCCCCACCCCTACTCCCCGCCATGTATGGTGACATTTCATGGAATAAGAGTTGAGAAACATGCTGTAGCCATAGACCACATAACGGAAGAGACAGTGCATGGTAAATTAAAACCATGCACCTTAAGCTATCCAAGCAGTGGGTCCTTTCCCTTCCCTGAGGAGGCTGTGCGGGCCTGTCGTCCTTGTTTGGGCCCACAGCGGGTGAATGTGAATAACGCCTCACTCACAAGTGAATAACAGAGGGCCACTGGCATGCAGAGCCCCGGGGAGGGCATGGCTCCCCATGGAAAGCAAACATCCATCACCCCACTTTCGTGTGAAGCCTGGCACCTCCAGGAACTGACTGCCCTCAGCTCAGGCGGTGCCCTCTCCTCCCACGCTCACTCCAGCCCCACCTCGTCCCCAGTGAGCTCCTGTTCACCCTCCACGGCCCAGCCTGATCCGCTGGAGCTGACCACGTTCTCCATTCTGCTCTCTCCCTATTTTTGCTTCAAAAATGATGTTCGGTGAACTACACGTTGACTTGTCTCTCACATACAGTGCTGTGAGCTTCTTAAGGATATACTGGTGTCTAAGTGCTTACGTGACAGGGCCGGCACTTAATGAAATATTTGCTGAATTCTTTATGGAACAAGAGTGAGTGCTATGGTTTATAGGCATCTTCACACACAACATCTCAATGTCATGACCTCAAGGATCAAGTTGTGAGCTTATGGATAGGCAGGGCAGGAACTGCCTTCTTCATCACCCAGGAGCCACTGAGGGGTGTTCTCGTAACAGGAAGAATGAGGCAGATCTGGAATCAGAGGGGTTTCTGTCTTCCATATGACATGTAGAATCCTTTGGCTTTATCTTTAGCCTCTACATTAATGAGAAAGAAAACTATGGAGAAAACCACAGCCCCCCCAACAAAACCATGGCAGTTTTTTGGCTAGAGAGGCAAAATCTGTGCCACTGAAACATACTTCCCAAAGCCTGAGTGATAGAAGCAGTGTGGCCCCTGAAAGCACTTTCACTGGTCCACAGAGAGCCCCACTGGGAGAAGGAGGAACACCGCTGTGAACAGCCCACAGAGCACTGGGGTGGGGGCAGCAAGCCAGGCAGGGGCCATGGCAGGTCTCTGAGGGGCACCCAAGCCCCTCGCAAGGCTGCCGTGTCTCTTCTAAAGGTGAACTTGTTCATGAGCCCGGGGTATACCACTAGTCCCAACTCGGACCTCCCTGCGGGGGTGGGGAACAGACCCCATGGCGCAGCCTACTTGATCATCAAGAAAAAGGAAGACAAAGGAAGCTTGCCCCAGCAGTCCAGACAGGCCAGCCAAAATGGGCAGACAGCACTGGGCACGTGCTTACTGACAGAGCTCTTGGTCACCCCCAGTCCTGTTTTGGTGAAAACCAGGTCATATGACAAGGGCCAGAGCCTGACCCAGACCCTCAGCGTGTCTGTATTTCGAGGCTGCAGGACTGAAACAACAATGGTGGCCCCCACGCACCTGCAAGACGATCCTCAGGGAATCCACACAGTGCAAGCAGCAAGCCAGGTTTGGCTCCCTGAAAGATTTTCAGTGCTCCGGTAACCACCCCAACCAAGCTGTAGCCCTCCACCGTCCTGTAGCCCCATAAACATGTTCACTGCTTTGTACAGGAACATCTCACTTCCGGAGAAAATCAGGTAAGCAGAGGCCTCCAGTGACTCGGGAGTACTCGGACAGGGTATTTCAGGGATGGTTTCATGGTGATTAACTAACTTGCTTCGTTTCAATGTACTTGTCACTCTGAATTACCACTTAATGGGTGAAGTGTGCAGGCTATAACAATCAGTGGTACCGGCATAAGGAAGCAAAACATTAAAAAAAAATTAGCCCCTAAAGCAATTATTGCAGTGAATTTTTCACATAGTTTTAATACTCAGTCTTTTGACCCCAGGGTATGTCTTGGGGAAAATATATTAATCTCGGATAATAATCAATTTCAGTTCTTCAATATCGACGATATTAAATATTCCAACCTTACTCTTTTTGGTTGCAAACATTAAATAAGCATGATAATTGTGTGCCTCCGTGATATTTGGTACTTTCTGAATGAGTCAGAGCTCGGGGAATAATTTGAATACAGCAGACAGCAATTTGCTACATAAATTCACCCCAATGGCTATTAGCTCATTTTA